TTGCAAAGTTCAATATAAATCTAATTCCTCTTTCATCTCATGTGTTCAGAGTGAGAGAAAGAGAGAGAAAGAGGGAGGGAGGGAGAGAGAGAGAGAGAGAGAGAGAGAGAGAGAGAGAGAGAGAGAGAGAGAGAGAGAGAGAGAGAGAGAGAGAGAGAGAGAGAGAGAGAGCGAGAGCAAGAGCGAGAGCAAGAGAGAGAGAGAAAGAGAGAGAGAGAGATAGAGATAGAGAGAGAGAGGGGGGGGGCGGAGAGAGAGAGAGAGAAAGAGAGAAAGAGAAAGAAAGAGAGATAGAGATATAGATAGATAGATAGATAGATAGATAGATAGATAGATAGAGAGAGAGAGAGAGAGAGAGAGAGAGAGAGAGAGGATGAATAACAGGAAAAGTTTTTATCCACGCATATACGCACATACATGCATTTAATGCCCAAAATGAAACGAAACTAGTTTAAGCTAGTCAAAACAAGGAAAGCAATGACATGTAACACGGCATGAATTAGATAATAGAGTCCGCTGATACATTAATGAACCCAAAAATTATATACATAAGCGTTTAGCACAGTACAGTATCTTCGCTATAATTGTAATGACACTGATATCCTCCACGACTGAAATAAGCGTCAAAATAACATGTACATAAAGTCCTATAAACAGGACAATTATACATCAAGAACAGAAGGGTTTCACGCCAGATACACAAGTTCCTGTAAGAGTGGTGTTCATCTTCATCCCAGGCTGAGAGAGGCAGAGGCTGAGGCGGAGGGAGGCGAAGGAGAAGAGGAAGAACCAGAAGGGCAACCAACAGGGGATGGGGAAGGGTGGGGGGAGGAGAGGATGGAGCAAGAGGAGGAGGAGGAGGAGAGGATGAGGCGGCAGATGGAAGAGGAGAAGGAAAGGAAGCAGAAGGAGATGGAAGAGAAGAAAAACCGAGGGACAGATAAGAAGATTAGGGGGTGTATGAATTGTAATGATAATAAAAAAAAAAAATACAAGTATTACCAGACATAATTATGTATGGGATAAATGAATAACAATAAAGAATTTATATATATATATATATATATATATATATATATATATATATATATATATATATATATATATATATGTATATATATATATATATATATATATATATATATATATATATATATATATATATATATATATATATATATATATATATATATATATATACTTAATCAGATCAAATGCCTTCTTAAAGTCTAAGGATACACAATCCACCCATCTGTTTCTTACTCCTTGCAACGGAATTCTTAATTCTCGGGGCTCTGGAGTAGTTTTCTGTGACTCTCAGAGTGCTTTTCGGACACTAAATTCTTTCAAAGCAGGTGGCGATGAGGAAAGTGTGAGTTGCATTAAGCGTAACGTAACTTGTGTAATAGAGCGAAACTTCAACATTTAATTTGTTTGGATACCATCTCATGTTGACATAAGCAAGCACGGCTACATAGACAAAGTGGCGAAGGAAGCCTGCAGCAAAGATACTGTGAACATAGATCTTGGGATGCCTCTTGCTAGGGTTGCACATATATTGAAAAGTTCTCATAAGGAAGAACTAGTAGATCTGACGAACACTCAAAGGCCTGAAAGCTGTACCATAAGGCACTACAATCAGTACTGAGATAGCAAGCCCTCCTATGGGTGGCACCGAAGTCGAACCAAACAATGTGACGTGGTTATTGTCAGAATACGTTTAGGTTACAGAATGTATTGGCAACTGCACGGTGCAAGAAGTGCAGATAAATCTAAATGTAGACTGTGTAACGAAGAAAATAAGCGAACGCTTGAGCACTATATCTGGGAATGTCATGTGATACAGCCTTTCAGACCACCTAACATGAGGTATAAAGAACTAAGTGAATATTTCATTTCAGCTTATACATTGGAAGATATACTCATATTATATCCTAAATTTACTATGTCCACTGCTCCAAAAACACAGTGTCATGTATACACAGTGGCAAAAGCATATCAACGTATTATTTTGATATATGACATATTTCTATATTACCACGTACAATTACAGTAGTCACAGACTACTGTACTGTGTCAGATTTATGTAAACCTGTAATCATGATTGCCCACGCCTGAGCAGATAGCCAGAGTGGTAAATGAATTTACTTAACTTAACTTTCCTGTAGTATATAAAAAACTATCACAGAAACAGAGGAAATCAGCTACGCTTGACTTTCCTTCCTTAAAACCAAATTGTTTACTTGGTATCATATCGTGTTTTTCAAGTACTTCAACCCATTGCTTCCTAATTATCCTTTCTAACAGTTTGTATACTACACTAGTTAATGAAACTGGTCTATAATATAGAGTGTTTTATTTGTCGCCAAAGGTGTATAATGAAACTGGTCTATAATTTAGAGGTTCTTGTTTGTCGCCAAAGGTGTAACAAGTTTCCAATCTTTTGGTAGTTTTCCTTGTCTCACTGAATTTTAGAATATTAACAATAACGGAGTACATA